CTATGGAAAAAACAAACAATTTTAATCTAAAACAAAATAGGTTAAATTTGTTACCATGTGAATTTTGGGAAAAGTGAATCAGCAGAATTGTTCTTTTTTAAGTTGTATGAAATCTCTAAAACCATTCTTCTAAATAATCTACTTCTTTGTGTTGTCCTATCAGATTAATTCTTAAAAGCCCTTGTAAGCTGGCAAAACCTAAAAAAAAAAATATTAAAAGGATATGAGGCTGTAAGGAGTCTAATTTTAAATAAGATCATAGATCTGATTAGAATTATTCTCAATTCTTTCATTTATAATGTTTTGTGTCCTAGTTTGTGACAGACTTGGATTACCGGCAGGCCAGTTGAGCACTGATTCATGCTGTTGTAAAACATCCAGAATCAGTTTGAGTTTCCCTATTGTCAGATAACTAACAGCTTGCCTAAATACATAATCTGGATAGGAGCATATGCTGAGCCAGAATCTGGGCATTTAGCTCAGCATTAATGCTGCCTGCACAGATGTTCCTGTTAGCCATGCAATGTGCCCTCCTCCAAAAATATCATAAGCTGCTAACAAGATCATGTCTTTTATTCTACGGGGCACAGTGTTGCATTTAAATATTGTGGCTGTTTTCCCATCTTACTATGTAAAAACAACTAATGTAAGAACAAACACACTGACAGGGCTCTGAACTGCCTGTTTCTTTTTGCGACAAACTGTTTGTAGGAGTGTAGATTTTTATCTTTAAAGATACATAAAACATTGAGCCCTCCCACAACACACACACTTGAAAGAGGTTTGATCTCTTTGTCATTTGCCATTGGCTTGGATTATAATACAGTCTTTAAATTATATTAGTTGATATTCATAAGCTCCAAATTTAATGTAAATAAAAGTAAGAAAAAAACATTTTAAACTGAATATTTCTTTAAATTTTCTATGTGATTGTTTTTGGGTTCGGAATAGCCAAAAGCTAATGGAGCCCAAACAGCATTGGCTTCTGGCCGTTGAAGTTCCTGTTCCTATGTTATCAAAATGATAGCCATTAAGTTATATGAACATGTCCAGGGCCCAACTAATTAACTGCTTAGGGCCCAAGGGCAACTAGGGAACACAATGAATAAAAAAATGGTTTGCCTTTTTTTGCATATACAACGATTTATATAAAAATATGCTGATATATGTTTTTTTAAATCAATATATCTTTCATCATGAAGAAATTATTACTTAGACATGAAAAAAATCACTGTAAACTTAAGCCCACTTGAATGGTGGGCTTGATATTTTATTTTGGAATAGACCTAATTATGTCAGTTTTTCCACAATTTAATTTATTATTTATTAAATCTGTATTGTTAAATGTACCCATTGGAATAAAAAAACACAAAGCTTTTACTGTAAACAAACAGCACACTAGTTTGTTGTATTATTTTTAGTAAAACTAGTTGATACTGTTAACAGCACTGCCTGCCCTGCAATGAGTTTATAGTAGGTGTATGCATGGATGGTAATCAAACTGTTGTTTGCAACAATAAATATTATTGGTGAAAATAGAGGGTGAGATTAGTTGTGTCCCTCGAAGCTTTCCATGAAAACTCAAATTTAAATTTAAGGGCTATTGACCTTGATTAGAAGTCCCACAGCAAATAATGCATCACAGAACTTAACAAAACATGAAAAATTATTTTTTTTTAAATGAAGAAACTGAAAAAAAATTGACACAAACAAACTAAAGATATCCAAGCAACACCTGGAGAAACCAAATAAAATAGTTCTCCTCCATCAGAGAATCAAAGAAAGCAACAAACACTGAAAAGTACGGGTATTTTACATAATGCTCCTTTAATATGTTCAATGGCCTAATGATTTTAGAATATTTTTAGAATAAATATTTCATTACAATGCTTTTTTTAGTTGACTAGAGAAAAATCAAGAGAAGGAATTTGTGACAAATCTGCAATGTCTAAAAGGATGTAAAGTTGAGATTTTATCATCTATCAAGGGTTAAACAGGTAACAAAACCGGTTTAACAGGGGCAGTTAATCACTGAGGCAAACATGCCAGTAGATTATGATCTAAGGCTGGTTTCCATCTGGAGTTATGCGCTGTTTTATCCACACCCAAAAAGATTTAAAGGTTTTGGCACCCACAGTAACCCACCTGGGATTTAAGACAATTTTACTGCTGCTTGTCATATTTGAATGTATCCTTCAAATGTCTTTGAAAGATATTCTTCAGATAGGCGTAAAACACAATGTGAAAATCCTGTTTTAAAAGCAAAATTTAAATTACACTATAAAATGTTAGAGAAAATGCTAAAAATAAGTTCCTTGCTCATATTTATGCTTGGAAAACTATTTTTCTAAGCGAAATGTAGTAGCACAGAATTGCCAACTCTTCATTGTATATTTGTGTGGTTTTATTCAACAAAGTTACACCAAGCTTTGCATAATGGCAGTAAAAGAAAGGAAAAAATGAATTGTTTCCAAATGATATTACACATAAAAACCTATAAAGTGTGTATTTGCATTCAGCCCCTTCAAAAAAACCTGTAACAAAATCAAGTAGAATCAGTTGTGTTTTGTAGTTATGATATTAGAATCCAGCTGTGTGTGACTCATTTTAAATAGAGCTGTTATGAGAAAGCCGTGGAGGTTTGCTCAAGAAAATAAGTGAAAAAAAAAACCAAAATGATAAAGATTAATGAACACATCAGACAGATCATGAGTAAACTTTACAACAGAGTTCGGCTGTTGAAATGACTGTATGGTGGGTTAGTCTATAGCACTACTTCCTGGCAGGAAGAAGGTCCAGGGTTTGAATCCTACCCTCCCAGTGCAAGCATCGGTTCTCTGTAGGTAATCATGCTTCCTTAACTATCTAAGGACATGACTGTTTGGTGGATTGGTGACTCCCAACTGCTGGTAAGTGTGTGTCCATGGTTGAATGTCCTCCCTGAATGGGTTCTCCTGTGACTGGCAATGTGTCCAGGGTTTATCGCTGCTCAAAACCCTGTGGAGATAGTCGCCAGCCCCCATGACCCTGTCAAGTTGGGTGGTTTCTGAGCTACATCCAAAACTTTGAATCAGTCCAACATCTTAAAACAGAACAACTATGAAAAATTTCCAAATTAAAAGTCTGGCCTTTATGATCCATTAGGGAACACAGTGAACATGAGAAAGGTGATCTGGTCAGATAAAAATCAAAAATTTTACTTTTATACCAAACACTTTGAGTGAAGAAAAAAACTTAGTGCACTGAGAGACTATGGTGCCATGGGAGTTGCTTACTTTTAACAGGGACAGCAAAGCTGCTTGGTGTTGAGAGGAAATGGTTGTAGCTAAATACAGAAAAACACTTTGGGAAAAGAAATAAACATTAGAAGCAGCACAGCTCAGAAAGCATGGCTTATTTTTTTGTCTTTTAGCAGGACAACGCCCCGAAAAAATGCAGCCATAGCTGCATTGGAATGGTTTAGATTTTTGTTTTTACTTTAATATAACATTGGAGTTCATTAATACAAAAATTCCTATTAAAATACTTAAAGTTTATTGTTTTAAAGCTATAAACAAGAATTCTCAAGAATTTTAAAACCTTTTGTAAGGCTCAGTCTATCCTGTTTTTTTAACAGCTCAGAGAATTACGACAGAGGGTCAGACAAACCCATGCCATGTGAACCATCTCCCCCTAATATACAGACGAACACTTGCGGGAGCCCCCTCCTCAGCCCTGGAGTGGGGTGAACGGTGAAGCAGCTGGGAGACGTGAAGCCACAATGGCCCTTTAGGGCGAGACGGCCCTAATCCGTCCCGCGTCCGACAGCGCCGGTGAAAGGAGGCCTGTCAATCATAGCATGCACCCTCGGGTCTCAGAGATGGGCTTGCTCAGATGTAGGATTTACTGTACCCCCTCTTTTCTGTGTTATTAAAATCTCCTTGCAGACAGGCTGTGATATGTATATGCACACAAACAACTCAATGCCTTTCGTTTGTCAAAGCTGAATATGTGATGATACCCGTTGTGTGCAGTTTAATAATTTGAAGTTATATGCAATATTATGAATGAAATATGAATAAAAATGCAATGTTTTTTATCCCAATGCATTATCTCTTTTTTTATTTAAAGAAAACAACATTCACGCAAATGAAACATCTACAACAGAATTTATGTAATATCTTTTTTATTTGTTATTTTGCTTCATCGTTACAAAGATCAATTCCTTTCCTGCTTAAACATGTAATAAGCATGCTATTGGTTCATATGAACAGCTGTAGATGAGGGAATCACGTTTTATGCTAATAAGGGAGAAAGTCATGTAGAAGCTAGAAATAGCTCATGATCATTTTGGATACATTTCAGAGGCATGCTGGTGTCTGTTTCACAAACACACAAACATACAGAGGCATAGATGGAAAGGTAACTATAGAGGAAGAAATGCAAAAGGCAAATACACATGCACAGATACACACTCTCTCACCCACACACAGAGAAAGAGTAAACACTTATTTAGAGGTGTCAGACACTGCATGTAATATCCTCTGGTGTTTGGGTGCATGTGTACGTGTTGCAATGAGCCGTCAGCTGAGCTGAGCTGCGCGCTGTCCGTTGCAGTTGGGTGATGGTGATCAAATCTAACAGACAGTGAGGACTGGAGCACGCTCGCTGCCTCTGAGACACAGGGGAGAGAGAGGGAGCGCACTGAGATCGCCTCTGGCCACCATTATCTCTTCAGTGCATGACTGTGTCCATGTGAGTGTGACAGTGTGAAAAATAGTGTTTGTTTACTTGCTGCATGCTTGTGTGTGTGTTGGTGTGTCTCTGTGTGTGTGTGTCTGTCAGTCGGTGGGACTGAGTGTGTGTTCATATTTGCTGGTCAGTGTACTGAAATCCTAATAACTGACTGGGGGATAACTACATGACAAGAAGACACTCCTTCCCATGTTGGCAGAGGTGGGTAGAGTACACAAAAATTGTACTCAAGTAAGAGTGGCACTACTTTCAGTTTTATTTTTTTAATAAATATTCAGTAAAAAGGCTACTTGAGTATTGAGTAACTGTTGAATAATAACATTAGATTATCAACATCTAGTTTGGCAGTTATTCAGAGAGTAGAAAACATTTAAAGAGTCTCCTGTTAAAATAACTGCTGAACAGAAAAGTGAGGCATTATGAAACATAACAAACCAATTTAATATTTTTACTTATTACACTTCTTTATGATCATATCAAGAACTCACTGGGTACATTATATGCCTACCTTATTTTCAGTCTAACCCTAACCCTACCACACCTAAAGCACAATAAACTAATAAGAAAGTAGCTGGTGACAGTGACACTCAGGATACCAGAGGCCAACCTGAACCTACATGTCTCAAATCAGAAAAGCACAAGTTTTGACATTCAGGTAGGTGATCGACTTTTATCAGGCTGAATTTCCTTTGTAGCTTTAACATTATATTTTATTCACGGTAAATGTTCCACCAGGAGAGCACATAAATACCAAATGGCCACCAAGACTTCAAGTACAATTGATGAGTAAGAGTTTGACATTGTTATGTATTTTTACTTTAGGGGTGATTGTGTTTTCTACTGAATCGTTTAAACAAAGATACAATTAAATTAAAACCAACTAAAACTCACTTCTATTAAACTGACAATAGCTGTCAGTTTGAATTTATATTCTGAAGGGTATTCTTCAGTTGACATTCAGCATTTTTTCATGTTGTTAATCCATTTTTGAATGAAGGCAAGCCAGTCATTTAATACATTTTCATTTATTCCCAGGGCACTTAAAAATGCTTTCTGGGGAAATAACATATATGTAGGGAGATGAGTTAGAAGATCAATAAAGAAACCCTACTGGTGAGAGGAATAATGGATCTGCAGGTTTTATGTTAAGTGATTTCTGGACGCAGTTTTATATAATAAACTACAAAAAAAAACATTAGTTTCAAAACTGTAAAGTAATTGCAGTGTTAATCACAGCAAATAGATTTCTCCTCAAACTTGTGCACATCATTTTAGCTTTATCCAAGACCATGTAGGGACTCTCAGACTTCCCTCACCCCGGACTCTGGGAAATCCGAGGAGCTCCCAGAGTCCCGGGTGAGGGACTGCTATTTGTGTCGTCTCCCCGATCACCAAGCTCCTCACACTATCTCTAAGGGAGTGCCCAGCCACCCCGTGGAGAAAGCAAATTTCAGTTGCTTGTATCCCAGGTCATATTCTTTTGGTAATGATCCAGATTTCATGACCATAGATGAGGGTAGGAGCAAAGACCAACAGGTAATCAAGAGCTTTGTCTTTTCTCTCAGCTCTCTCTTCATCACCAGAATAGAACAGTGCAGCATCCACATTATAGCAGCAGTCGCACCGATCCGTCTAACAATCTCCCACTCCATTCTCCCCTCATTTGTGAACAGCAACTGAAGATACTTGAACTCCTCCACTTGAGGCTGTAACTCTTCTCCAGTCTGACGGGGACAAGCCATCTTCCTCCAATCGAGCCCCCCCCAAAACCACCAAAGATGAAAACCAAGCTACGCCAAGATTCAACAGTCAGCTGGACTCTCCTTATCAGCACCCTGGCATAAGCCTTTCCGGAGAGACTAATAAGTGACTCTTATGGTTGGAGCACACCCTCCAGTCCCCCTGCTTATGCAGGGGAACCACCATCCCAGTCTGCTAGTCCAAGGATATTTCCCAAACATCCACACTATGTTGAAGAGGCATGTTAGCCACAACAGCCTGACAACATCCAGAGACCTAAGTACTTAGAATTGAACTACATCCATCCCTCAAAACCTTGCTGCTTACACTTAGTCTCTCAATACCCTCAAGCCAAACATGTTCAGCAGGACTTCTTCAGCTTGACAGCATTCCTTCCTGCCAGTGTCCACCACTGGCCGCACTCTCACACTCCCAATTGCGAATTTCCAGCACAACAGGCACTGCAAAACTTAAAACCACAGCTACAGGAAGCCGTATCAACAATAGCGGCAGAGAACAGACTTTATTTCCCAAGCTGAGTTTGTCCAGCTTCCTCCTTTTCCAGGGTATTCTGCATATGTAGGAAAATATGACTCCAAAATTAATCATTAACCTCCAATTAGGGTGCCCTGGTGCAGAGTGTAACAATGGACATGCATATGTATATACATTTTTCTAAAATTTTTATCTTTCTATATTCCCTTTAACTAATTTGTAGTATGAATGTATTTAAGCTTTCCAATGTTAGCTTATTCCAAATAAAACATTTTTAAGTACATAGAAAGTTTTAAAGAACGAAAGAAAAGCAATGGCACACACTCCTAATCTAGTACACCAAGAGGAAGGGTTTAGACACACCATTTGCACTTTACAGGTGGATTCACGAGTCAATGGGGAATTAGTGATTTGCTTGTTAAATTCCCTTATATGGATAGTCAAAAAATACAAACTTTAAGTGTTATTCAGTCACAGGTTTATTTGTGGGGTAGAAAACTGAGCGCAGTTATTTGTGAGTTAAGTCGAAAAGACTTTAAATTGTATTTAAAGTTCTAGAATGGATAACCAATAAATATGCCGTAAGTTAAATACTATATCACTCCTGGTTTATTCAGCTGATTTACAATCAGACCCATACATTTTAGGATGTTTGTACAATTTTTAGCATCCCTATCATGGCATTTACTTTTAGTATTTGATTAGCCAAAATTTTTGTCTTCTGGGCCACCAAAAGTAAATCAAACAAAAATCTTTAAAGTATTGATGAGTCTTCTCTTAAGAACTGAGAACAGAAAACAGCCTGGAGCTTTCCTGGCCTGGACACCCACTTCATTTAACATACTGCCAACAACACTCAGCCTCTGCAGCCGGAGCACCCCACTCACTCCGTCACCACACATCCGTCACTGCTCATACTTGGTGTGTGTGTGGTAGTGTGGGTGTGCGTGTGTGTATGGGCGGCACGCGGTGGGATGGGGGGCTTTGGGGGGGGGGGACAGAGATAAATGGCCGTCTAATCACTCACACAATGCAGCAAGGCCCCGTAATGAAAAACACTGATAAGAAAAATTAACATAAACTGTAAGTAGTACAGAAAAAGGCAGTGGACATAAATATAGAGGCCCTGTGTACCATAAATCTAAACTGTAAACACAAACACTGACAACACACACATGTAACTGAGAGGCTTCCTCACTTTAGGCTGTGGAAAAAGACCCTGGAGCACATGTACTCGTATCTGCTTCATCCTCATTTTTACTTTTTGCCAGCTCCCACAGAGCTGGGTCCTCCACTCGTAGCACGGTGCAGTAAGTTTTAATGGTAAATCAACAAAGGGCCGACATGAAAGAAAGGCTAGCTTTCCAGTTTGCTGGGTGAAGAATTATTCATCAGCACTGTAGTGTTGCACTGCAGGCGAAAATCCTGCAGCAGCGCTCCATTTTAATTGCCAGAAAATGACTGTAAATGATACAGAGAGAGAGAGAGAGAGAAGGAGAAGGGGGACAAAAAGGAGGAGAAAGAAAAAAGAGAGCTGGAATCAGAGGTATAAAGAACTGCAAAAAAAGAAAACCCCCACTACCAACAGCTGCCCCCCAAAATTGAAGGCCGCAGTGATAAAAAGCTATGTGGCAATCACAGAAGTGGAGGGCCCCCCCCTCCGTAGTCTAAAAGAGCGATAGTGAAGGGAGAAAAGAGGAGGGCGAGGGGGAGTGCCATCAAAAAAGGAGTGGTGGGATTAGGTTTGAGAGAGAGTTTACTACGCTCTTTTTGTGCGCAGAACCTGCAGGATTAGAGATAACAAATGTTAGCTGAGGAGGAGCACCTGCTGTGAGCCGAGAACATGAGGAGGAGACATGGAGGCGAGGGGAGTGGTGGAGAGATGGGCTAACCCGCTAAAACAGTAAAATGGGCTTTTGCTGCCCCCCCCCCATACTGAATTGCATGGGGAGCATAGAATTGGCTGGAACAGGTAAAAAGTGAATTTATAATCATCAAACATGTGAAGGAAGGGAGATATTGCAGAAGAACTTCCTCTCTTCTCAAAGCATTTTCCATTGTACAAATTCTTTATGACCCCAGTAAAGATCTACCTTTATGTAGTTAACATAACACAACTTAAACAATAATCTATTTATTACCAACTTTATGGCTGTTTTTCATTATAGTAATAAAGGCCTGTTTGCGTTTTTCAGCCACATTTTTATTTTCTCTTACAACTTCACTTTGGGTAAAATTAGTGGCTAAAATTACAGCTGGGGCCTTGGGACCTCACTGTCTCCTCAGTGACCCCAGCCGGGCAGCACACAGACTGGTCAATCCACAAATAAAAGTCTGTCTGCAGCTACTAACTCAATTCTGCCACTCAGCTTAGTGGTCTCTTAGAAGCAAGTCTCTTAGACGGAACTGTGCTTCTTACGCATGCATACACAAAAGGTTTGAGCTGCTGCGGTCACACCTGTGAAGCCTTATGTCTGATCCTCTGTGGTGGATGAATAAAAAAAGCCTTTTTTTAGGAAAATCTTTTTAGGAGATTTCTGATCTGGACCAGAAGTTCACAAAGGTTTGGTAAATAGTAAGTGGAACAACAGCAAATGTCGGAACTATACTGTTTATCTAAAGTACTTCATGCAAAATGCATGCAAAAAAAAAATAAAAAATGGAACTTGAGGGCCCACCTGCTCTTTTTAAATTAGCAGTTCACAGATTTGGTTTTATAAGAAGCAGGGAAAAACTTTGGAACAGGTGGAAAATGGAAATCCTACAGATCAGAACAAAATAGCTATTTTTTTAAATAATGTACATCTCTATCGCACACACAAGGAGGTTACAAAATGCTATAGTCACAGCTGTGATATCTTGTTTATTATACTGGTGGAGGGGAGTGCAAGCAAAGATGTAAATAACAAGGGCAGGGAATGTGCTACGTTGATATCTTACCTGGACTAAAAGTTAAAAACACTTTTAGTAGTTGTTTAATGCCAACACAGACGACTAATACCTTAAATAATCATGATAAGCACTTCACATTGATCAAATGTAAGAATGGATAGTTATAATTATACATTTGTTTGAGAGCCTGTTTGTTTTTCTCTAATCAGCGCTGAACTGATTTCAATTTAAAATAAAATGAGCACAAACATATGGTTTCTGGTTCTTGCTCTCAAAAGACTCACACTTTACTCACCCCATATGTTACAATTTTTGACTATTTAATATTTTCATCACTGCTTCAAAGAAATGAATAAATAAGAAATACTTGAAATTTTTAAATAAAAAACAAAAGCTGGAGAAAAACTGCAGGGGCTGGTAAATGAAGCATAAAGACCCCGAGTGACCGAGGGGAATTATTTGGCTCCATTAAGCAGGCATTAACATGAATTACTATCTAATTAAAATTAAACAGCTCATTAATAACTTTGCGGTAGGGCCTTAGTGTGGAAGTTCTCCTGAGTGTGCGTGTTTAGGGTGTGTGTGTTTGAGAAAGCAAAGCTGTGTTTGAGTTGTGGCCAAGAGAGCAGTCGAGTGGAGTAAACGTAAGTGGTCGCCCCAAAGGAAAGTCAGGGCCAAAGAGGGCGTACGTCTGCATCAAGAGTGCAGCAAAAAATATATCCATCTTTAAATAAAGTTAAGTTTAGTCACTGTTTAAGGAAGAAAAAGTGTACCACTGTGACCCAGAGGATAAAAACACACAAACCAGAAATCATAAAATCAGGCTGATGGAAAGCAGAATACAGTTGATTTTAACTAAGATTAATGAAAATGAAAAGCTTCCTATTTTATGTCTGGATATTTGGACACACATTAACAAGCTGTGGCAATGTGTAAAAGACACATTCACTCACTCCTGAGGCATCCGTCTGGGGTCGCGGCCTCCATGCTGGCAAGCAGCTCAGCACTGTGAGGTCTGTCAGGAGACAAGAAGGCAGAAAAAGGTAATCAGTGTCCTGGACTTTACTGATAAAAGAAGAAGAAAATAGGGGCTAAGTCCCATTCACCTCTTTCCCCCTTGTTCTTAGCCCTTAAACCTAAATGTCTGCAGGGGGAAAGACATCTCAATTGTTTGTGTGTGGAACAAAACAGCAAAGGAGAATGATTTTCTACCTCTTAAAAACTGGCTTTTTATGGGGAAACACTTAGAGTCATGTATTCCACAAATACATTTTGTATTGGACAGTGACCACTGAACAGTATGTTATATGTGGTTTGTGGACATAACAAATAGAATTAGAAATTATTAGAAATATTACTCCTTTCAATCTATACACTGCAAAAAGGTTCAGAAAATGAGTAAAATAAGTGTATTTACCCTTATTTTAAGTGGGAAAATAGGATGATTTGCCAATGGAATGAGCATTTTACCCTTAAGATAAAATAGTTAGAAATTAAGCACTTGAAATAATTAACTGAAGTTTTTTTTTTTTTTTTTTTTTTAGATAAATTGTTTTATTTTATTGGCAAAGTGTGTCACTTACCTCCCCCATTAAAAAAATGCACTTATTTTATGAAAAATAGACCTACTTAAATTTACATTTTTTGCAGCGTATTTAGTTGGATGTGTTCTGTTGAATGATGCCAGTGAAAATGAAAGTGCTAAATAAAAAAATACTTTTGGAATAAAAGAAAAAAACCTGCAGAGACTAATCAATCATCACGTTCAGAATATGTTGGAAGATCAGCTTGCTTGAAGTTACCTTTGAACAACTACCTTAAAGCATATTTTTGTTAATATATTAGCAATACAGTAACAAAGATCTAAATACAGTTTAAAACCTTTAAAAATTTTGTTTCCTACAGTTAAAGTTTGTTTTATTATTCATTCAGTTTTGTAGGGCATCAAAAATTATGTATTCTGACATCTCCTGCTGAATTGATATGTTTAGATGTCACACATGAGCATTTTGACTCATGGATGTTTGCACAGGAATTGAGGAGAAATGATGTTAAACATGGTTTTTGACGGAGAGTCCTATGGCTTAGTAACAACTTCTTAACTAAGAGGTGATCCAGTTCACAAGTAAACTAAGCATCTCCTTAGTTTATCCAAGTGGTATCAGCAGATATATAAACTTAAATCAATAATTTGGGTATTTTTGAGAGACAAACAAACACATGTGCTGCAGGGAGATACAGGTGCTGGTCATAAAATTAGAATATCATGAAAAAGTAGATTGATTTCAGTAATTCCATTTAAAAAGTGAAACTTGTATATTATATTCATACATTACATACAAACTCATATATTTCAGATGTTTATTTTGTTTAATTTTGATGATTACAAATGACAACAAATGAAAATCTCAAATTCATCATATCAGAAAATTAGAATATTGTGAAAAGGTTCAAAATTGATGGCCCCTGGTGCCACACTCTAATCAGCTAATTAACTCAAACCACCTGCAAAAGCCTTTAAATGGTCTTTCAGTCTAGTTCTATAGGCTACACAATCATGGGGAAGACTGCTGACTTGACAGTTGTCCAAAAGACGACCATCGACACCTTGCACAAGGAGGGCAAGACACAAAAGGTCATCGCTAAAGAGGCTGGCTGTTCACAGAGCTCAGTGTCCAAGCACATTAATAGAGAGGCGAAGGGAAGGAAAAGATGTGGTCGAAAAAAGTGTACAAGCAAGAGAGATAACCGCACCCTGGAGAGGATTGTGAAACAAAACCCATTCAAAAATGTGGGGGAGATTCACAAAGAGTGGACTGCAGCTGGAGTGAGTGCTTCAAGAACCACCACACACAGACGTATGAAAGACATGGGTTTCTGCTGTCGCATTCCTTGTGTCAAGCCACTCTTGAACCACAGACAGCGTCAGAAGCGTCTTGCCTGGGCTAAAGAGAAACAGGACTGGACTGCTGGTGAGTGGTCCAAAGTCATGTTCTCTGATGAAAGTAAATTTTGCATTTCCTTTGGAAATTAAGGTCCCAGAGTCTGGAGGAAAAGAAGAGAGGCACTTCATCCACGTTGCTTGAAGTCCAGTGTAAAGTTTCCACAGTCAGTGATGGTTTGGGGTGCCATGTCATCTGCTGGTGTTGGTCCATTGTGTTTTCTGAGGTCCAGGGTCAACGCAGCCACATACCAGGAAGTTTTAGAGCACTTCATGCTTCCTGCAGCTGACCAACTTTTTGGAGATGCAGATTTCCTTTTTTCCAACAGGACTTGGCACCTGCACACAGTGCCAAAGCTACCAGTACCTGGTTGAAGGACCATGGTATCCCTGTTCTTAATTGGCCAGCAAACTCTCCTGACCTTAACCCCATAGAAAATCTATGGGGTATTGTGAAGAAGAAGATGCAATACACCAGACCCAACAATTCAGAAGAGCTAAAAGCCACTATTAGAGCAACCTGGGCTATCATAACACCTGAGCAGTGCCACAGACTGATCGACTCCATGCCACGCCGCATTGCTGCAGTAATACAGGCCAAAGGAGGCCCAACTAAATACTGAGTGCTGTACATGCTCATACTTTTCATGTTCATACTTTTCAGTTGGCCAACATTTCTATAAATCCTTTGTTTTTATTGGTCTTCAGTAATATTCTAATTTTCTGATATGATGAATTTGAGATTTTCATTTGTTGTCATTTGTAATCATCAAAATTAAACAAAATAAACATCTGAAATATATGAGTTTGTATGTAATGTATGAATATAATATACAAGTTTCACTTTTTAAATGGAATTACTGAAATCAATCTACTTTTTCATGATATTCTAATTTTATGACCAGCACCTGTACATTTCCCTTGTAACATTTCCCTTGTATTATCAGTTTTCTAGTTTTAGTCTTAGGCATTTTTTTGCGTGTTTTTTTTTTACTAGAAAATATTTTATGTGGGCCAAAAGGTGAACCTTTGGTCTTCTTTGACTAGAGTACCTTTCTTCCTTTTTTGTGGGAACCTTGATCACTGAATCTCCCCATGAGTTATAATAGCCACACATCTCTTGCTGGTTTTGTTCTTTGCTCAGCCTATCCCACCATTTTCATATCACAGATTAAACTGTGCATTTTTTAGATATGCAGAGGTTAAGATATTTTTAAATAACCTTAAAACAGCTTAAACCTCTCCAAAACTTAATACAGAGCCTTGTCAGCTCCATGCCTTGATATATATGATGCTGTTTGCTCACTGTATGTATGCTGAGATGCAAGCAGACTATTTACTAATCAGTTCACTTTTGTCCTTGTTAATTGTCATTAACTTTAAATATAGGTTTTATTCTAGATGGGGATACAACTATCTACATGCCACATTTATTCCAATTTTATCTGTCACCTTTTTGAACAACAACACAATATATTATTTTTCCTTCCATGTCACAATTATTCACTTTTTGTGTTGTTCTGTTACATAAGATCTCTATAGATTACAGTATGTTGTGGTTGATACATCGCAAATTGTAATGTCATGATCTTGGTGCTGATGACTGGCTTAATTGCTAACTCTATTCACCTGCCTAAACCTCCCAGGTTCCTCATCACTGCTCATCTGACCCACCTGCTCCTGCCTCTATTTAAGGCGCTTGTTCTCAGGGGTTGCAGCATCTGGGACACTCTGGGCGGCCATCAGTTGGTTCCTACCTCATTCTCCGAGCACGGACTGAACTAATAAGCAATATTAGTGACTCACGTTCATAATCGTCCTCCATTAGATTTATGTGGTCACTAACCTATGTTTCCTCTCTTCAAAGTTTCCTGCCTCAAACGCCCTCGCCACTGCTATCCCGATCCGTCGGTTTTAAATAAATACTTTTGTGTAATCCACCTGTCTGTCTTGCCTGAATACCGGGTCCTTCTGTTCCCGGTTCTGACAGCTGAAAGGGCAAAAAAGGGCAAAACATGTCTTAACAAGGTGCTAAAGATACAGACAAAGCAACAAACTATCAGCTTTTCTATTAATTTTTGTCAACATTTAACCTCTAATGATTTATTTATGGATGTAAACGTTGCCATTCCCGTCATGTTAAATATTTAAAGCTCAAATGTTTAAAATATCATGAGATGTCAGTTGAAAAGTCATGAACTTCCGGAGCTTCAAAGTCCCCCAAGTAAATCCTGGTTTGGATCTAATTTCTGCCAACTGCCTTTTAGTGCCAAGAGGGAAAGGGACATAAAGATAACCCCTGGAAGTGGGATCCAGACAGAGAAGGACATGTATGATTAGAATAAACAACGGATCTGATATCTTTAACTGTACAGATTACATGTTCTTCTTTTATAAAATCTTCAAAGTAGGAAGCTTGCAAGTACTGAGCCATTATTCTGATTTGCAAACACCCGACTTCATCTAAATCCACAAGATGGTCCAAAAGGCTGCAACAACAAAATAATGACAGACAGCTCTTGGTGATCAAGAATGAATGAAAGGGAGAGAAAGAAAGGGAGTTAGAGCCCCAGATGTGTGCCGGTGCATGCATCAAACATATCCCTCCACCTCCTACCCCTCACCTTCCTTCTCTTGGCCAGGAGCTGTTTACCTCTCTATCAGCAGTGCTTTCTGAAAGCAGGGACCCCATCCATATTCACCGGCCTCAAATTCCTCTGCTTATCTCCCCCCCAACCCTTGAAAAACCTCCTCGTGCTCTTCTCCGCACATACATACATACATAAACACGTCTTTATGGAGGCGAGAGGCAAACGCGCCGGGCCAGGAGGGGGGTCGTTGATAAGAATCAACTTGAATTCAAAGCAGAGGATTGGGGGTCCTCGGTGGGCAGGCGAACAGCCAGCCAGGCGCATGGGCTGAGGCTTAGACTGGCATGACACAGACAGGTAGACTGAGGCTCTATATTCTCTGAGGCCATTTGGCAATTTAAAGGATTTGAAATAGTGGCATGTTGATACAAACTGACTAAAAGTGCAGACTTTATCTGATTTCTGGCTAAAATCCAGAACAACGAGTGATATGCAACCCCCTTTTGATAAATTTGCTTGCACCAATCAATTATACAGAGATTGCATATTTTCTCTTTTATCTGATAGTCCAAAACAGGTCTATTAGAATCAACAGGTAAAACCTCAAACAAAGATTGCAAAGTTTTATCAGCAAAAAAGCCTGATTGATGTACCTCTATGTAGAACCTACAAAGTAAATGGCAGTTTATTCTCCACATAGCTTATTTGTGATGACAAGTTTTTGTGTTTTATGATGAGCGCTTTATTTTACTACGCAGACTTGATCCATATTTTCCCTAGTCGAATTAGTAATATTTCTTTCCTCATATGAATCAACAGGTGAATTAAATTCAGTGCACAACAAAACACTGAGACATTAAAACAAATTAAATCAAACTCACAGATATCAAGAGGTATAATGATAATATTTAGAAAGCCTGTGTTGTAAATGTCATTGCCTGCTTTTGATGAGCAGTCGTTTTCCAGTTCCATCTTTTCCTCAAAATCTTTTATGCTCAGTGTTTTAAAAAATTAACATTAGAAAGTATCTTATTATGTGGCTTAAAATGTAAACAGTGCTATAGTTGATTTATTAATTTAATATTTTTGTAAGTTTGTATAAATTGACCTGTTTTAAATAACACAGACTAGAAAGATTACATTCTTTTAACTCCAGATACACAAGTATTACTGTACTTGTGTATCTGGAGTGTCAGTAAATCTGTCTGTATGTCATTTTATTTGAAATGATGGAGCTATATAACAGATAATTTACTTTTTTATTTGGAACACAAAGTTAAATTCTAGATGTCTAAGCAAAGTACATTTGTTTCATATGATAGAATATCGGTTTGGTGAAATAACCTTTTTGCTAAGAGCCTTTCAAATTTTACGGTATTGTATTTTAGCCGACTATCCCAGCTCATCGAAAGTTACATATTCAGCATGCTTTTAGACAATGCCAACTGTTTTTGTTTTGTTATTTAGTTTGTTTTTTGCCAAGAAGAGGGACAACTACATTTAAGAAAGCTGATGTAAGTCTTTAGCACAGACATCTCCAAACTCGGTCCTTGAGAGCTGCTGTCCTGCAGGTTTTTAGAGGATTCTCTGCTTCAACACAGACAGCTGATTAACAGGATTTTGCTGAACTGCGGTCATCAGAATCAGCTTTAATGAAGCCAAGAAATATTGAAAACCTGTAGGCGAGCAGCCCTCGAGAATCGAATTTGGACGTGGCTGCTTTAGCAACATTTCAACATTTCCCTCACCGCATTTGGCTACAATGGTAAATACCTGGCATATTCTTCAGAGGACATTTGCAGCATCAGATACCTCAGCTAATAATGGGCCAAAGCAAGGCTTGCATTAGCTTACTTCCTCTCTATTTTGATTTGCTGATGATTCAGCTAATAACACATATTTATTGCTCCAACTGATGATTTTTTAATTTCTTACATTGCTTTAACTATTTAAAAAATAGTAAATGGCCTGTACTCATGTAATGCTTTGGTCAGGTCAGGAGGCTTGACCAAAGCGCTTTACACTTTAAACATTCACCCATTCATGCACACACTGTGGCAAGCTAAATCGTAGCCACGGGTTCCCTGGGGCTCGCTGACAGAAGCAAGGCTGCTGTACACAGGCGCCACCCAGCCCTTTTCATTTAATGAATATTTGTTGTTGTTTTCCGTCTTCTGCCCATGCTGGCTCAGTTAAGAGTTTTTAGAATTTTACATCTAAAGTGCAGTTACAGTATTTTTTCTAAAAAAAAAATGCATTTAATTTGAATTTAAGGTGTAAAAACTTGAACTCAAAGACCTTAAAATAGCTTTAATAACAGAAAAAAAAACTTTGTGTTCAGGCCACCTTAGAAGTCCCTGACAAATCTAATTGGATTAGCTGTTATTCTCAACATGGAGATTCAAATGAAGTGGTCCAAACACTTGATGGTGACTGCTTTGGAGAGGAGGGGGCTTCGGAGACGGGCTGATAAGCTCTGCGAGTACAAGTTGAGGGCTCAAAGAGTGCTCCAGCAGTAAAGACACATGGAGCAGGAGGAGGGAACTCTAGCCCGCTTCCACCGCAAGCCTTGCGTTGTTTTGGGATTGAAGTTGGGAACTCTCTCCTCTCCTAATTGCACATTGGTACTTTTCATGAATATTCATTCTGGCGTGTTCAGACCCCGCCTAATTAGCCGGGAGATAGAGGAAGAATCTCGCACCTTTTAGCACAAGAGAAGCCCCCCTCCCTCCGCTTCTTTAGTTGCATTCTCAAGGGGATGCTGGCAGAGTAGCCCAAGTTCATTAGCCAAAAAAGAAAGAGGGAAAAAGTTACCTGAAAAGAAAGAGAAGATTTAATGTTGAAAATGGATGGCCAACCGGCAGCTTTTTCTTTTGCCGATTGCATATTTAGTGCCTATTACGCATGTCTGTCAAAAAAAAAAGTGAAAACAAAATACAATTATCTGATTGAACAACTTGGAATATTATTCTACTCACTGCAGGAGGTACATCACATGAATTTTAAAATGTAAACACACTCCTGCTGCTGCCCCAAATTCCCCCCATGGACTTAAGAAAAAGTATGATCGATCTACTTTGAAGCTGAGTCCAAGGACCCCTACAGAAAGTTTAGAGAAGTAGTGACCAGATTAAGGGGGGATTGATGGGTTGTAGGCCTACACCAAATTTAAAAAATCATATTTGAATTTCAGAAATTGGATGCTGCTGTTTCAGTAAATCTGAGCTACATTCATGGAGCCAACTGAGGCTCAAGAATGACTGGAAAACAGAAGCTTCCTGGCAGGCCCTGTTCCTGTAGGAGAAGGTGCCTTCTCAGATATGTTCTGATAAGGTTCACCTGTGGCGATATATTCTGGCAAATTGTTACTGTCCACATTCCTGGCCTCTTTTCAGGTAATTCCCATTTGTGCATCCTTCTTAGTTTTGCCTTATGCAAGTAAAAAAGGTACATAATTGAATTTATATTGTGAAAAGGGCACTCCAGAAAAGAGCCAAAATATGCCATAACTATGGGGAACTCCTTTAGTTATGTCAGTGGACAAATATTTAAGCTTATTGAGGGTTTAAAAGCTGTACATTTTGAATAAAGGTGGTATTTTGTTTCAAGATTGATTCCTACCTCTCTATGTTATTTTTAAATAACTGAATATGTCAGAATCTGTGATGACATTAATACGACAACGAAAAATAAGCTTTTTTGAAATACAAACTATAAATTGCAGAAACCTGTAAAACATTTGCATTATAATAACAATAAATTTCCAGAATCACACAGCTATCTTCTACTAACTAATTCCTACATCTGTGGCACAGGGAAAATCTGAATAAAAAGTAACGACTAAATCAAAAATCGTGATGTCATACAGATACAAAGGATACTTATTATTCCTCAAGGAGGTCACCCAACTTCCTCAACACTCATCTCCGCGGTTCACACTCAGAGCGCTCAGTATTTTCATCCTTTATTCACTCTTTTTTTTTTTTTTTGAACCCATCATATCGCGCTCATTTGTAGCCTTCTTTTCCCTGTGCGGCCCGTCCCTTCACAGCTGAGTTCTGTGTGATCCCTTTTCATCGGGCGCACCATGGAAACCTTGTGCGTCCTGGCAAAAATGCACCTCAGCACAACAACAAGGCCGTATTCTTTCCTCTGCAAAAAGGGCCCAAAGCATCTGGAGCTTTTCTCTTTTCCAGCAGCCCGTCACTGGCATGGCAAAGCACAAGTCTGGGTCTGTGTGGCAGAAACCGGCGCTTTTTATAGACTAGAGGAGACAAGAGTGGATGAATGGCAAACGCGTCTTTATTAACTGAGAGCTGCGTGAAGCTGTGGGTCCCTCAGAGAAAGGAACTCGGAAGGTCCCTTAGGGGTTTTTACGCACAAACTCTTAAGTTTGCTGTTTTAAAAATCACAAAATATGAACGTTTGGAAATATTTTACATTATTTCTGTTTTTTAACAGCTGATTGTGCTATATTTAAGGCTTTTTACCTTTATTTTATTCCATTAAAAAAATCACAAATTGACACTTTCAGTTGGTTTTAAAGTGGACTGTGCAGCAAAGTAAGCGCATGACCTATGTCTGTAAGGATAACGATTCTAGGTAGCAATTTATAATTTGCGTAAAACGCGAAAAGATACATGAAGTGTCTCTCATATTCCAGTAAATGTCTGTAAAGGATGCGTGGGCAAAAAAAAAACCCACGCCTTTCAGGAGATGATGACGAGCACCTGTGACCCGGCCAACGTTTTGCACACACACACACACCCTCACACACACATTCGCAGATGCACTCTACACAGTTAATGTAGGAGACAAGGGTAAAGCGAGGACGCATCCACAGCAGAAAAGAGACAACTTACCGTTTAGTCATGAAGCTCCGGATTAAAATGAACAGCAGAGCCGAGTAACTCCTGTAAACAGAAAAAAAGAACAGTCGCATGGGGCTGACATAAAAAAGGCTAAAGAAAAAAACAACATAGCTTTTAGGTGAATGATTAAAATGGGACCTTCCCCAAAAAAAGCAGCTCCTTTTAGAGGCAGCGGAACATGCGCCTGATTGCAGAGTTTTGGGCGAATGGAAGAGGAGAGATGTAAGATTTGTTTAAAGCCCCGCATTTCCATTTAAGAACGTGATTGTGTTTGCAAAGATCCCTTTCAATCTTTGCATCCCCACCACCACCACCTCCTCTCCCTCCTCTCTCTACCCCTTCAGCGTCTCTGAGGCTGCTTTGCAATTCATAGAATTGGTAATTTGCTATTGGGACAAAATGTGAAGGGAAAAATAATCAGATCAACCGAGTGAGGAAGAGAAGAGTAAGCCAGGAGCAAAAAAATAAAAAAAACACAAAAAACAAAAAAATAAAAAGGATTTATGTCTTTAAGTCGCAATGCTTCAAAAGACACATGATATATGTAAATAAATATATATTTAATTTGCAAGAGTCAAGTTGAACATCTTGTCGGAGATTATGAGAAAATTTAATTATATTGTCTTGTAGATAATATTCATTAGGTTGTTATAATTTCACCTCCATTTAAAAATACGGTGCAAACATGTAGGAGCGCATGCAGGAAGTGTGCAGATGGTAGCCTGTTTTAATGTTTGGGTGGCACAGCATTATGCAATTTCAAGACTTTTATGATGCTGCTATTTAGTAAAGGTCGGAGTTCAAGGAACATTCAAAAGTTGAAACTTTGGAGGAAAGTAAATAAATCAGATACATTATCAAGCTTACACTCTCCCTTGTAAAGATTAAAAATAATTTTAAAAATTAATATTATGCATATCGATATTAAAGGGTTCTTCTTACCCCCCATTACCCCACACCCCGAGGTGATGCCAGTGACTGAATAGTGTACTTAATTCCTGTTAAACATTTCACCTGCTCTCCGCAGAGAGGGAAGAGCGCAAAACAGAGTAAGCATCTTGCCTATCATTTCTAAGTGGGTGGTGATCATCAGATCACACAACACTGAAAATTACTGGAGACAATACAAATAAATGACAGCGCTGAGCCTTTTTAAACAGAGCAAATGCTCTCATGCTTTTCTTCTTTTTTTTTTTCCAAAAAGCACAGACAGACGCATCACAGCAGCTTATTTGTGCGCTTTTTTTGTCGGCTCCAGAGCTGGAGAGGATTGCGCTTATAATCTGGTTCAAATGAGGAGCGCTATAATCATCAGTGACCTATTGTAAAGGTGCACGCGTGTGTGAGTGTGTTTCAGAGACAGGGGGTGGTGGTTGGGGGGGTTCAAAAAGATCTCCTTACTCCCCCACGTGGTTATTTGCAAAACAACCGATCCAAACCTGTGGAAACCCAATCAGACACCGCTGCTACAGCTCCTGCCCAACTACTATACTGCAAACGTTTAGAAGACACGCAGAGTATGTGAGCAGGTGCGTATTGAAACTCAAAGAGACATTTCATAAGTAGAACATATGTTTTTTCTATAACATATGTAACACCGGACCTCCATCCATCGCGCACCGTCCTCTGAAAGCGTGCGCCTATTGAGTATCTCTCCAGTGAGTTTGAGTCGGAGAGGAGCCAATACAAGCTGAGGGGAGGCGTGTCTTCGCTCTTCCCGAAGACCTCCCAGAGCAGGTTGTTGCGTTTTTGGCTCTAAAGTCCGCAGACCTCCGAAGCGCTCGTCAGTTTTCCAAGTTAGAGCCATGGCGACAACAGCTCAGTACATCCCGAGGAATAACTCCTTACCGTCCAACCCGCTCATGCATCCGGATTCGGACAGGATGCACCAGGGTACGACCTACAGAGAGGTGCAGAAAATGATGCACCACGAGTACCTGCAGGGGCTCGCGGCCACCAATACGGGGCATCCGATGAGCCTCACGCACCACCAGTGGCTGCCCACTTCCAACACCGACTGGTCCAGCGGTACTCACATCGGCCAGCAAGAGCACAAAGCCGGGGTTCAGGCCAGCAGGGAGGACCTGAGCAGCGGCTTCCACCACAGATCTCACCTGGTGCATCAGCAGACGCAGAGCGCGCACCACGGTTCGTGGGCGCCCGCCACGACGCACCACCTGTCTCCGCTGTCCCCTGCGTCCAACGGCCACCAGTCGCTGGTCTACTCCCAGCCCGGATACACAAACCTCAACGCGATGTTAAGCCCGCAGCCTGGTGCCCTCCACCACGGCATGCGGGACCCGCTCCACGACGAGACGGGCAGCCACGATAACCAGATGGAATCGCCCCAGCAAGCGTTCAGTCACCACCAGGACCACTCGGACGAGGACGCGCCAAGCTCCGACGACCTGGAGCAGTTCGCCAAGCAGTTCAAGCAGCGGCGGATCAAGCTGGGCTTTACTCAGGCGGACGTGGGCTTGGCCTTGGGCACCCTGTACGGAAACGTCTTTTCTCAGACCACTATCTGCAGGTTCGAGGCGCTGCAGCTCAGCTTCAAGAACATGTGCAAACTTAAGCCACTGCTTAACAAGTGGCTGGAGGAGACAGACTCAAACACCGGCAGCCCCACCAATTTGGACAAGATCGCCGCGCAGGGCAGGAAACGAAAGAAGAGGACCTCCATTGAGGTGGGGGTGAAAGGGGCGCTGGAGAACCACTTCTTGAAATGCCCAAAGCCATCCGCTCATGAAATCAGCACTTTAGCCGGCACTCTGCAGCTGGAAAAAGAAGTGGTCCGCGTTTGGTTTTGCAACAGAAGACAAAAAGAGAAAAGAATGACACCAGTTGGGGTCCCGCACCCGAATATGGAGGACGTTTATTCCCAGGCAGAGACCCCTCCTCTACACCGCACACTACAGAGTCCTGTGCAGTGACTGTTTTCATGAACAATCCGAGCATTTAGAAAGAAGAAAAAAAAAAGAGAAAGGGACACGTGGAGTTTTACAGTATTTAAGTTGAACTGTTTTGCTGAGAGACAGAAAAAAACGACACTGGATCAATTTTTTTTTTCCTTTTAGTTTTCGGAAATTAAGTCCAATAAAATAAATATCAGACGGGATCATGATAGGAAAACTGAAATAAAATCAATAAATCAAATTTCCTGTTAAATGAAATCAAAGATATATTTACAAAAATCAAAGAGAGGAGAAATGTATCTGATGGAAAGTTTGCAGTTTTGAAATATTGAACCTGATCTCCTCCTCCTGGTGCACCATGAACTCTTGGACATCACCAGAATGAGGTGATCATTTAAAATGATCAACACTGGAGATGAATTAACTTTTTTTGCGCTTTTTTTCAGGCTCAAATTGCTCAACCAGATTTCTAAATACGAGTGCACACGTTTTTGTTTTTTTGCCAATAATTGCCCAAGTGTCTTTATCTGCAAGTGTTTCGAATTTTCTTCATAATTTGTTCATCAGAGCATCCTGTTTCTGTCTTATTTTTGTTTGTATCCTTGATGGTGTATACATGTTGGGAAGTCGTTTCTCGATATTGAACAGCTCGTTAAAAATGTCAGATACATTTCAGTTAAAGCCCGATGCAGAACGATTAAAGTTGCAAAGGCATGCCTTAGTAATAAGAAATATGCTAGAAGTAAATAAAAATAATAACATTTTTCAGCTGATCTTGTCAAAATGTGCAAATTGCATCAGACGCTAAATGGATAATTCTTTGAATTCGTATTTTATATTGTTTTATTGTTTTTTCTTTAAATTAAGCACTTATTCTTTCATTTTTTCTATTATTGTTATTCTATTGACTGCTTATAAAAATAATCTTTATGTCACCCCTTACACTGTCTGCTAATCAGCTGGAATTCAAACGTTTCAAGAAAACATTTGGTCTAACAGTAAAAACGGGGACTAACTCAGGTAACTGCAGAATATATCACGCCTGTACATGTTTTGCCGTTTGGGTCCGGTTTCATTTCCACAATTAACTTTGTTCCATAGAAAATTAGCAATTTTTTAAAAGGATCTGCTTGGGGGAAAAAAAGTCGACAAAAACAATGTTTGTTTGTTTTTTTTAACCTTTATTTTCTCCTCTGACTTGTAAGGAAATCTGAATTCTCATGCGATGTGTCATTTCTCAGTGTTGGATCAGTAAAAAAAAAAAAAAAAAAAGAAAGAAAAAAAATATAACAAATGAATGAAAATAAATAATACAGCAGTTCTTTTCAACACAGATGAGAGATACTTTCTTTTCTTTTTTTTTTTTTTAAGAAAAAATAACGAGAATAATAATTAAAAAGAAACGTTTTAGAGAAAATGTTGTCAGGATTATTTCCGATCTGTAAATATGTCTAATATGTAAACTTGTATTTGTTCTGAGATATTGTTTTTGTTCTTTACTTTTGTTTGTTTCTTTCCGGGCAGTTTTGTACACTTACTAATTCCAAGAAGATATTTTAATATGATTTCCTTTATGAATCTGACCATTTATATATATAAATATTTATTTCTTAAAAGTGTTTGGAGCTCTTTTTGTTTGTTTAGCTCTGTTGATGGTTTTGTTGCAGTGGATTTCCTTTTTTTGTTTTATTTTTTCTTAATGACATTGGTTGTTTGTTGATTGCTAAATGTAGACTGCAAAGTCACGTTTATATTTATGTTATAGTAATATTTTATTACTTACATAAAACATATATACAAGAAATGGTCTTTTGTCTTCATTGGGATCCAAAGCAGTCGCTGTTTTGTTGCCGTTTATTGTAGAGCATCAGCAGGCAAACATGAAGCTGAGGCAGATCAGACTTTTTTTTTTTCCTTTTTTTTTTTCTTTAGGTAGCAGTGATTGGTTATGTAACAAGGCATCGTTTGAAAGCAGAAGCTGTGTGTACATGTGCTGTTTAAGGGAACTGACAACAGTATTTGACCTCAGGCATTCCCTGCTAACTTCAGTCTGTGACGCTCTTCAAATCTTTGTGTAAACGCAGAATTAAATTGTGCAATATTAATACGAAATTATTGTCTTTTTTTGTCTTATTCTTTTGCTTTTAATAATATCCTCTAGAAAAGGCCAGGATAGACAGTCTCCAATTGTAAGTATTTTTCTCCCTCTATAAACAATCAAATGATAGGTTTTAGGCTTTTAAATGATAATTGTGATGAATCTTTGATCTGACAGAGAAAAATACCTCGAGGCGTTAAATCAGATAAGACAAAGAGTGAGAAAAAGGCAAGTAAAGGCCTGGAGTTTCTAAAGGATTTAAAGAGGGATTTACAATCTGTAGCGATTTTAACTCTAGTAGGCCTACTTTATAAATCATTTACCTTAAATTAAAGGAGCACGACGTTAGAGCCTGGTGTTTTTCTATTTATTTATTGGATAAAGAGATACAAAAAGAAAAACAAATTAATAAAATACATAAGCGCAGATAACAATCAATCAAAAAACAACACCAAACTTAATAAACTACAGGCCCTGCTCGTTTTTTTTATTTTTTATTTTTTATTTTTCTTCATGCACATTTTCAAATTTTCATTCAAAAACAACACAAAAGGGGGGAAAATCGCAAAGGTGGAAATATAAATATTAAAATAAAGCAAACTAAAAGCAACAGCAACATAAACAAATGAAAAGAAGCGTGTAAACTAAAAGACATTTTGAATTTCGGAAAGTTTGGGGGGTTTAAGTGAACATTTATTGTTTTATTTCTCCGCAAATTTTCAGACCGGAAAATTGGCTGAAAGTGTATCTGGAACTAACTTCATATTTTGAATATAGGAGTTATCTGTGCGTCTATGAAATGAAACTCATAATCCGCGGATCTTTTCTTCATTCAGGTGGCCCTGCTCTATTTATGTTCAAAGTTGGTTTTCTGCTCATCTTTTGGGCCAACAAGTTGATATTCCAAAGAACTACATAAAGGTACACCCTACAGTTTATGTCTCTGGAAACCAAGTTTTAAAAATGCGTATTTTTTAAACGAGTGAGGTGGTCAGTTTGCCTAAAGATGCCACGTTAAGGTGGGCGCCAGTTTTCCAAACAACAGCGAGTCTAAAGCGCCACCTTCTGGTAAACTATGGTTCCTCAGAATGAACCTGAATCTCAGGTTCTTGAAAGGCAGCATTTTCACCGCCACATCCATTCAGATATTTAAGTTTCTTTTTACTTTTGTTCTGTAATTTATACCATAATAAAAAATAAAAATGAATAATTTGATATAAATTGTAACTGTTATCATCATCATCATAAATTGATGCTGCAAGCCAATTAAGCAGGCCCTTTATTTAGCTATCTTAGTTTCATACATCTATTAACAATGTTACTCAAAGCCCTTAAACTAAGGAGAAATATATAAAGTGTGCAAAACTAGAGATTTGCTTGTATAACTTAAAATTTTCTTGGTTGTCATCAGGTTCCTAAACAATCCATAATAATCCTTCATAATAGTTAAAGGTAGTTTTCTTTGTTTTTTTGTTTTTTACTTGTCAATAAAATAAATAAATGTGTCTGTCTGAGTGGTCTGGGATGTGCAAAAGTCAAAGTAATAACAAACAAAGACTTCAGCCTAAAGACATGTTAGACTCATTAACCAGTAAAATAATATAATTATTCCTGAAAGAGACACAACTCCAGCCCAGAAATCTTAAAGTTACAGTAAAAGTTACTAGAATTATAATTAGTTGTATTTTGGTGGTGCTCTAAATATAAAACATTTAAGTTCTTAAGCACCTAATGTTCCTTTCAGAGAATCACATGGTCCATGTCTGATCTATATTTCTTAATTGAGCATGTCTAGATTTCTGAGACACTCTAAACAGTCATCAATGATTCTTTGAATCGGTAGAAAAATGTAATATTAGATATCTGCTTATCATCTGCAAAAACCTGGAACCTGGAACATCAACTATACTCTATTCTTGTTGTTAGACTTAGACAACTTTATTGTCATCTTGCTTGCACAGAGTGTATACAAAACAACATTTCAAAGCATACAGCTTTTCAACAGCGAATGAGCAGCTTCAACAGTGAAATGGACTTTACTATTCATAAAGTGCAGCTGTGATCAGAATGTAGACAGTGTAACAGAAAAGGAAAACCACTTTAAAGTCCTTTTGCAAAAGGCAGTGACATGGAAAGGTGCAGTGAAGCTTAATTGGCATTAAGTCTAAGAAGACATTTTACATATTTTATTTATGAAGGACAAGCCTTCAAACTTTGTGTATCACTGTAACATGAAAAGAATGGGTTTAAGCTGATAGCAAACATTTGAGTACTACAGAGCTGACTAAATGGTTAAAGAAAACGAGTCCATGGCGGAGTACAGTGGAACAGATTAAATAGATTATTGTTATACTCACTAGCTGTTATTTTCTGATACTGTGCAGTATGTTAGCTTACACTTTGTAGAGGTACATAAGCTTTCTTGTCCCATTAAAGCTGTAATTCATGAGCAGAGCACATTGCAAAACTCTTCAAAAATTCAATCCTCTAATCACATCAGTCCATCCTCTCCTGTCCTCTCATCCCTGCAACCTGCTCTCCTGCACTGAACGGGCCCTCAGCAGTTTTTCTAGAGGAGCTCCAGCTTCAACACTGCCTGTGCACCAGTGAGCACCAATGCCTCCTTCATCAGGGAAGTATCATCGCACACAGAAGAATGTGGATTAGTGATGATTAGCAGGGATTATGGCTGGTTAATGGTGGGAAAATACATTAGGATCCGTCAGCTCTGGCAAAGGGGAGGGGCGGGATTTCACTCATGCTAGCGGATTTGCATTGATCCACAGCAAATGAATGAGGATTAGCAGCATCAAGCTATCTGCCAACAGATAAATAACATTAAGCGTATTATAAGGAAACGCTTGTTATTAATGACATTACAGACGGGACTACAATGCTGGCAATTATGGAAATAATAGAAGCAGATGATTTATGTTTTTGTGGGACTCTTAGATTTTTCATTTCATTATGTAGAAAGAAGAATGATGCAACAGAGGTCAGAAATAATAGGCTTAAAAGAAATATTTCAGTCATTGTGATTGTCAGGCATCTGTATGCCATTTATGTAAAGGTTTGTATGTGAAAAGTAGCCAGAATGATTGATTGCTTTATGTATAGTACACGCACTTTGGATTCAACCATACCTCTTCAAGAGCTTCCTTTTTTTTTTTTTATCACTTTAGATACTTTAGCAGACTAATAATTAGTTGAAGCAAACTATCAATCTCACATATATTGAGCTCCCATTTCAAAACACTAACACTGTTGCATTTAAAAATACAGATATCTTACAAATGAAATTGGGTTCATTTAAAAACTATTCATATTTAAAATATATTTCTTATTAAAACTGCCTAAGTCCTGAGAAACAGAAGTTCTTATAACTAAAACAATCAGCATTATGAAGGGAAAAGAAGTGTCCTTCCGAAGTAAAAGGTGTTTTTTAGCAACTAAACAACTAAATTATTTTTTTTAGCAATTGTAAAAAGTGACAAAGATATAATGTTACTGCAAGTTAGCTTTTAATTGGTGGACAAGTCTTCGTGGCCTCTTACGAACAGGTGAAGTTGGAAGCCAAACCTCTAACAGAGAGACTCATCCCATCTCTTAGTGGACTGGTTTGCCTGTTTGTTTCCTTTTTTTTAAGTTTTGTTTGCATTTCTCTGTGCTACATTCATCTTTTTCTGTGCAAATGTCCTAAAATATTTGTAGTTGTTTTTCCCTTATAGATACCATGGAGAATCCCTCTGTGTAAGCTTTGCGAATTAAAACTGGTCTTCACTTTGTTAAATTAGGCTTTATTGTACAAAAACAGGCAGAGCAGTTGGAAACATAAAAAAATGTAACCTTCTGGTTGATACTCAGAGATTAAAAGTTTGATTGCAATAAAACATGAATACATTTTAGCTGGCACTAAACCCGATACTTATAGAAGGAATTTCCTTAAATGTTCTTATATTTCTTTATCAGTCCAACAGGTAAAGGAGCCAGGAGCTTTCTCTGCCCCTCCATTACCACATCCTCCTCCCACTGAGCTCTACGCTCCTTTTTTGCCGTTTATGTAATAAATACTCCTCTCCCACAGTAAGTGGCAATGAAAAGAGCGGGTTGGAGATTGGAAAAGAAGAACAGAATAATGCATTTTTTCATCAAAAATTCCCTCTATTCCTCTACCTCAAGGTTTCCCTCCTCTGAGCCACTTGAAAGATGGGCAACAATGTGGCCACACAGTGAACACCTAGTTACCATATGAAACACTCCAGCAGTGGAGTGAAGGAGATGGAGAAGGCAGAGGAGAAGTCTTGTGTTATTTATGATACTGGACCGTGTAGCTATATGGTTTCCCCCCTTATGTTGGCTCCCAGGTATGGCCCCCATATACAGGGGGGTGGGGGGGTGGGTGCAGCAACTCTCCCCTTCTCACTGTATCTCTTTGCTCCTCACTCAGAGCTTTAAAAGAAAAGAAGTAGCCCGTCTCCCTCTTTCATGGCTTTGAGGGACATTTTATATCGCCTCAGGTGGCTGTCAGTGTGACTAACAGTTCTGAGAGTGGAGAGCTAATATCTCAGGAACTTGCCTTCAGGCTACTGCACATGGATGTTACAATTGGTGGTCTTACAATGAAAAGAAGTTGTATTTTGAAGACTTTTAGTGCAATGTAATTATCACAAAATTCTTTGATTTAGCTGATATTACACGATGGCTGTGAGAGCAGTGGGAGCTCATTTAAACACAAAGGGCAACAAGACTACAGAAGGGAAATAGTAGGGAATCTAGGCATTAAAGAACTTAATATTTTTTAATTACCTTGTATTTTCAGTAAGGGTATTAAATATATACCAGAATTTCATAAGAAACACAGTATTTTGACATACAAATAAATAAATAAATAAATAAATAAATAAATAAATAAATAAATAAATAAATAAATTCTTAAAACTTTTAGGGGAGTGTTGCATTGTTTGGACATCAGTGGCATTTGATAAATGAGCTCCAATATGAGGGGGTAG